TCGTGGCTGGGAGCGGCCACTGCACTCCAGTCTGGGCAACAGAGTGAGACTCCAACTCAAAAAAAAAAAAAAAACCACAATGAGATAACCAATTAATCCACTCAGGATGGCCATCATCAATAACTCAAACAACAACAGATGCTAGAGAGGATACGGCGAAAAGGGAACACTTTTATGCTGTTGGTGGTAGTGTACACTAGTATAGCCTCTGTGGAAAAGTGCGGTGGTTCCTAAAAGATCTAAAAATCAACCTCCCATATGACCCTGCAATCCCCCTACTGGGAATATACCTGGAGGAACTCAAATCACTCTATGAAAAGGATACCTGCACACACATGTTTATTACAGCATCATTTACAATAGCAAAAACATGGAACCAACTGTGCTGCCCATCAAAAGAGGACTGGAGAAAAAAAAGTGGCACATATTCATGATGGAATATTACGCAGCCATAAAGAAGGACAAAATTATGAACTTCGTGGCAACTTGGATGGACTTAGAAGCTATGATACTGAGTGATCCATCAAAAAACAGAGAACCAAGTATCTCATGTTCTCATTCATAAGCAAACCTTGAGCAACAATTGAAATACTATAAGAAAGAGATTGGCAGTAGTGGGAAACTGCCAGGGGAGGGGGGAGCAGGAGTGGCACAGTGGGAAACTGCTTTGGGGGAGGGGGTACACCTCATCAACATGGGGACCTGCATAACGAACATTTGTATACCTAACCCTGAATTGTACCCCACATATTTAAAAGAAATAATTTTTTTTAAGTGTTCCTCACCCTCAGAATTGGAATAGTGACCAACTAAGCCCTACATGGTCTAATTCCCGCATATCTCTCCAGTCTCAACTGTAATGGCATCTCACTGTACTCATCTCTTCTGGGATCTTCCTTTTGTTCCCTAAACAAACTCTGCTCTTCCCTTGTCCCTCTGTTCCCTCTGCCCAGAGCCTTATCTCTGCTTTCTGCCAGCATCCTTAACACCATCCTCAAGATCTCAAGTCAAATGTCACCTACTCAGAACCACTGGTCCTGTGCCCCTATTATGATAGAGTATAGTACCATGTACTTCTTCATAACTCTTTTCACAGCTGTCATTAAGTTATAGTGTGAGGCCAGGCTCGGTGGCTCAGCCTGTAATCCCAGAATTTTGGAAGGCTGAGGTGAGTGAATTGCCTGAGCACATGGGTTCGACACCAGCCCAGGCAATTTGGCAAGACCTCATCTCTACAATAAATCAAAAAATTAGCCAGGCGTGGTAGCATGTGCCTGTAGTTCCAGCTAGTTGGAAGGATTGCCAGAACCCAGCAGATCGACACTGGGGTGGCCATGAGTATGCCACTGCACTCCAGCCTGGGCAACAGAGTGAAACTCTGAAAAAAAGTTATAGTGTGATTGTTTGATGTTATCTCTTTTGACACCCCCTTCATGGTACTAGGAGATTAGGGTCCTGGTAGTACTGAATAATTTTTATGGGAAGGGGCTGGGTGTGGTGGCTAACGCCTGTAATCCCAGCACTTTGGGAGGCTGAGACAGGGAGATTTCTTGAGCCCAGGAATTTGAGACCAGCCTGGACAACACAGCAAGACCTCGTCTCAACAACAAAAAAATGTTTTTAAATAGACAGGTGTGGTGGTGTATACCTGCAGTCCCAGCTACTCAGAAAGCTGAGGAGGGAAGACTGCTGGAGCCCAGGAGGTTGAGGCTGCAGTGAGCCATGATCATGCCACTGTGCTCCAGCCTGGGCAATAGAGTGAGACCTCAACTCAAGAAAAAAAAAAAAGAATTTTTATGGAAAATCCCGGGCAACATAATGAGACTTCGTGCCAATCAATAAATAAATCAGCCAAGCATGGTGGTGCATACTTATAGTCCCAGTTACTCAGGAGGCTGGGCCAGGACTCTCCTGAGCCCAGGAGGTCAAGCTGTGATAATGCCACTGCACTCCAGCCTGGGCAACAGAGTGAGACCCCCAAATCAAAAAAAAAAAAAAAAAAAAAAGAATTTTTATAGGAGGCCTCTAAGTTTTAGAGAGCTATTACTTAGCCAAAAGTACAAATTAAGGACAAATACAGGAAAGAATTTTTCTTAAAACTAAATTCCAGCTGGGCGCAGTGGCTCACGCCTGTAATTCCAGCACTTTGGGAGGTAGAGGCGAGAAGATTACCTGAACTCAGGGGTTTGAGACCAGCCTGGGCAACTTGGTGAGACCTTGTCTCTACAATAAATCAAAAAAATTGCCAGGCGTGGTGGCGTGGGCCTGTAGTTCCATCTTCTTGGGAGACTGAGGCAGAAGGATCCCCTGACCCAGCAGGTTGAGGCTGCAGTGGCCATGAGCATGCCTGGGTGACAGAATGAGACTTGACTCAGAAACAAAAACCAACTTCCTTCCCTTGAATTTAATTCTACCCCTTGGAGTTAATCAATGAAGTCTGCAATCTCTTCCAAAAAACAGCCAGTTAAATACCTACAGACCATCATTCTGCCTACCACATCTTTCTTCCAGACTCAGTATCCATCCACTCCTTGGACAGTCATTAATCGAGTGCCCGCTGTGCACCATGTTCTGGCTAGGGATAGGACCTAGGTCTTGACTCCTTCCAAATGCAACAGGCTGGTTTCTAAAATCCACATCTTATTCCTGGTGGGGAAAATGAAACAAGTTCCCAGGCAAACGCTATGTTCTGCCCAGTATCTGCTTTATTACAAGTGCCCAAACTACCTTTCTGCACCTACCTGCCTGGTAACACTGTTAACCTGTATAAACCAGCCCCTGTATGAACAGAGCTGCTTGTTCCTTTCTCCGGACCCCCACAAGTCCTTAGTTTCTCCTCTGTAAGAGTCCTCTGCACAGACTATAGTTCTGGATTTGTGTTTGCTTCCTTCACCTACTGGAGCATTTGAGGGACGGTGTCTTGGCCACGTCTGCATCCTGGGCCTCTCCACCAACTCTGATGCTTGGTAGACAACTGACAGATATTTGCTGAATCAAAATGTGAGCTGAGCATCTTTGCCGAACCATCACTGCCCCTCTTAGCTTGTACCACCTCATTCAGAGTGCCTCCCCTAAGGTGATAGGGAGTCAGACTTTAGTGGCCGGAGTCTCTCCGCAAAAGAATAGCCATCAAGGCTACCTTCAATAGATGTTACTGTGTGCCAAGAACTTGACTTACAGGTACTACTGTTATCTCCATTTTACAATGGGGAACCTAAAAATGAAAGGCCTAGAAACTTGCCCAAATCTCACAACCTGAGTAGTAGATTTGGGATTCAAAGCCTATCTGACTTTGCGTCAGTATATATATATACTGCTCATGGCTTTGCGTCAGTATATATATATACTGCTCATGACTTTGCGTCAGTATATATATATACTGCTCATGGCCACCGCAGCCTCGACCTGCTGGGCTCAGATAGTCCTTCCACCTCAGCCCTCCAAGTAGCTGGAACCACAGGCATGTGCCACCACATCCAGCTAATTTTTTGATTTATTGTAGAGACGAATCCTCTCACCTCTGCCTCCCAAAGTGCTGGGATTACAGGCATGAGCCACCGCGCCTGGCCAGGTCAGTGTATTTAACACCAACTTATACTCACATATTGGTCCTCAGGGATGTCACACATGGCATTAGGACATGGCCCAGGGTATTAGGGTATGTCCAACAAGACACACAGGGGGCAGTGATGATCCTCCTTGTTTGGGTTGGAGGCAGACATGCAGCTACTTTTCAGTTAAAGGAGAAGTGGGAATTTAAAATATTTTCATGCAGTTCCTTCTCCAGATGTCTGGGCTGTGGACCTCTAAAGGCTGCTCATAGTTCCTCACCCTCACCCTCTGGGACACTTGCTCTTGGCAAAACAAGTAAGTTACTAATTAATCCTCATTCAACATAGGCCTATGCCTTCCTTTCTAGGACACAGGAATTGTAGAGGGGAGGACAAGGGAGAGAGAGCAAGGTGCAAGTGGGAAAATTGTTTCAAAGTATCATGCTTCCCAATTTTAGGACAGAAACTGAATACTGCAAGTGATACAGACTTAGCCACTGTGTCTCTGTTAAACACCTCTGCTTTTAAGAAAGTTATTACTTAAAGGAGTAAGAAAAAAAAAAGGAACAGGAGTTGTTCTTTGGACTAGCTTCCTTTTCTTGAACCTAAGTCTATCCCTTGGAGCCAATAGATGAAGTTCACAATCTCTTCCAGAAAACACTCAGTTAAATATCTGAGGATATTCAGGGGCTTGGGTTAGGGTGGTGGGAGGCTGATAGTAACCAAGAAAAGGGAAGAGCCAAAGAAACCAATCAAGCTGAGTTGCTGGGATACAAGGTGGCTGGGGAGGAGGGCCCGGGGGGTGCAGAGTAAGGTACTGGCTGAGGATTGTCCTTTCCCCCATACCGCCAGACTAGCCTCAGACGTCTGAATCATCAGCGCACTCGCTGCCTGGGGCGCCTGAGTCATCTGGGCACTGCCCAGGACAGAGGACCCTAGATGCCCGGCAGAATCCTTCCTGTTGCCACTCCTCTCCCTGCAACATCCTTCATTGCGACATATCCCAGGAAGGAAGTGAGTGAGGGGAGCCCGTCGGGAGGAAAAGAGGTAGGAGAGGTGACCAGAGTTCACAGAGAAGGGAACAAAGAGTGACATTCCAGAATTACTCAAACTCTTAGCGGCCGCCAAAAAGTTCGCGCGTGTGAGGCTTCCAGGCGGGTGCCGCTGTGTAGGAAAGAAGCTAAAGCCCTTCCAGAGCCCGTACGGGCCCAGAGGTTCCGAGGACTTATCGACTATGGTAAGTATGCGGTCTTGGGGTCGAACGCGGGCCACCGGGGAACCACAGGGGCCGAATGGAGCCTCTCAGACCTCTGCTCCCTCCCCAGGAACGCTCGCCCTGCTTGCTGCTGCTGCTGCTGCTGCCGCTGCTGAGCCTTTCTGCGGCCACGCCAGAACCCTGCGAGCTGGACGATGAAGACATACGCTGCGCCTGCAACTTCTCGGACCCTCAGCCCGACTGGTCTAATGCCTTCCAGTGTACCGCTGCCGTCGAGGTGGACATCCGGGGCGGCGGCCGCAGCCTGGAGCAATTTCTCAAGCGCGTGGATTTGAACGCCGACCCGCGGGAGTATGCGGACATGATCAAGGCTGTGCGCGTAAGGCGGCTCACTGTGGGAGCTGCACAGGTTCCTGCGCCCCTGCTGGTCGGCGTCCTGCGTGTGCTAGGATACTCCCGCCTCAAGGAGCTGACCCTCGAGGACCTACAGGTTACCGGCACCACTCCGCCGCCGCCTCTAGACCTCGTGGGGCCTGCGCTCTCCACCTTGCGCCTCCGCAACGTATCGTGGGCTACAGGAGGTTCCTGGCTCGCCGAGCTGCAGCAGTGGCTCAAGCCGGGACTCAAGGTGCTGAGCATCGCCCAAGCACACTCGCTGGCCTTTTCCTGCGAACAGGTCCGCGCCTTCGGGGCACTCACCACTTTAGACCTGTCTGACAATCCTGGATTGGGCGAACGCGGACTGACCGCGGCTCTCTGTCCGCACAAGTTCCCGGCCCTCCAGGATCTAGCGCTGCGCAACACCGGGATGGAGTCGCCCACAGGCACGTGCGCTGCGCTGGCGGCGGCGGGAGTGCAGCCCCACCGCCTCGACCTCAGCCACAACTCGCTGCGCGCAGCCGCAAACCCCAGCGCCCCCGCGTGCGTGTGGCCCAGCGCGCTGAACTCCCTCGATCTGTCGTTCGCTGGGCTGGAGCAGGTGCCTAAAGGACTGCCGGCCAAGCTCAGCGTGCTCGATCTCAGCTGCAATCGGCTGAATAGGGCGCCGCAGACCGACGAGCTGCCCGCGGTGGATAACCTGACACTGGACGGGAACCCCTTCCTTGTCCCTAAAGCCCCCAGCCCCCAAGAGGACTCGGGGAGCTCCGGTGTGGTCTCCGTCTGCGGGCGCTCGTCCCTGTCAGTGGGGATGTCAGGAACGCTGGCGCTGCTCCAAGGGATCCGGGGCTTTGCCTAAAGCCCAAGGGAGATGAACGAATGGGTTCGGATTGCCCTGGCTTCAGGGAAGCCCCTTCAGGACATTGAAGATTAGACCAATCAACGCTTTGTCCTGGCGTTATTAAAATCTTAAGCAGCTGGTCAGTGTCATTCATTCAACAGAGTGTCTGCTATGTGCTGGGCCAGTACTGGATGGGGAATTCATCACACTTGACCTTCTTCATCCTAACTTCCTGGAATCCCTACCTGTCCTCTCCAAGAAAAGAACTACAAGGGCAGAAGGGACAGGGCAAGGTCGCCTGGCTAGGGCTGTGTGGGAGAAATCATGAGTGCCTGTGCAGTCAGGGCTTTCTGAGATTACTGGCACCTGGGTTAAAGGATATCTGACTGGTAATCATCACTAGAAAGATGCAGAAGGTTTCCTTCTCCATGCACTTTCCAAGGGCCAGCTGCTCTCTTTCAAAGGGAATAAAACCAGAGCATTTTGCTTAGTGACTTTCTCTCTTGCTCATTCTCTCTTCTTTCATTCATCTCTCTCTCTCTCTCTCTCCCTCTCTCCCTCTCTCCCTCTCTTCCTCTCTCCCTCTCTCCCTCTCTCCCTCTCTCCCACACACTCTAGGGAAGAGGGCAGCAACACTTCTCGTCCTACATAAGCTCTGAGTTTCATAATTTCAAGGGTCTTCTCTTGTGTTGTAAAACCCCTCCGCACCCACAGGTACACTGTTACTCCCTCACATTAGGGGAATTTGGGCATGGAGACCTGGTGCATTCAACAGTCTGTCCCTAAATGAGGTTCTTGTGTTCTGCTAGTACTTATGTGGATAACCATTTCAAGCTTACTCTGATTTGCAATTTCAATAACATCTCAGATTCTTAACAACTTCAGAATAAACAAGATGTGCCCTCTAAATCACAATAACTAACAGATCTAGGACATCAGCCCGCAAGAGGTGCTGTTTCGTCTGAGTCCCTTCTTCAAGAGCTAGATACTTACCTCACTGGGAACATGGGAGAGGGGTGGGAAGAGGCATATAAGTTTTTTCTTTATTCTAATTTTTTTTTTCTTTGAGACTGGGTTTTGCTATGTTGCCCAAGCTAGATTCACACTCCTGGCTCAAGCAATCCTCCCATAGCTTTAGCACAGAGCCTGAGGTGGAATCGGAGTTCTGTAACTGTTTGATAAAGTGTGATCTGAATTAATTGTAAGAAACTGCCTTGAGTATCTGGGATTGTGGGGGTGCACCACTGCATCCTGCTGTCAAATGATTTTTTTTGACGAGGGTCCCAAGACCATTCGATGGAGAAAAAACAACCTTTCAACAAATGGTGCTGGGGAAACTGGATATCCACATGTAAAAGTATCAAGTTGGGCCCTTACCTAACACCACACACAAAAACTAACTCAAAATGAATCGAAGATCTAAATGTAACACTTAAAACAACAAAACTCTTAGGAGAGAACACAGGCTTTATGACATTGAATTTGGCAATGATTTATTGAATATGACACCAAAGGTACAAGCAACAAAATTTTAAAATAAACAAATTGGATTTTATAAAAACTTTAACATTTTGTGCATCAAAAGACACTACCAACAAAGTAAAATGGCAGGTCACAGAATGAGAGAAAATATTTGCAAATCATTTTTCTGATAAAGGTAGAATATATAGAGAACTCCTAGAATTCAATGACAGAACATAAACAACCCACTTCAAAAATGAGTAAGGGATTTGAGTAGACATTTCTCTAGAGAAGATATTTTTTTTAAAGCATATGAAAAGAAGCTCAACATATGAATAGTTAAGAAAATGAAAATGTTAGAACTTCAGTGAGATTCTACTTCACATTCATTATGATGGCTACTATCAAAAATAACAGAAGAAACTTGGGCAATATAGTGAGGCTCCATCTCTACAAAAAATTAAAAAGTTAGTTGGCCTTGGTGGCACATGCCTGTAGTACTAGCTACTCAGGAGGCTGAGGTGAGAGAATTACTTAAGCCCAGTTCAAGGCTGCAGCCACTGCACTCCAGCCTGGATGACAGAGAGAGACTCTATCTCAAAAACAAAACAAACAAACAAAAATTTCCAAAACAGAAGATAACAAGCACTGGTGAGGTTGTAGAGAAATTGGAACCTTTGTGCACCTCTTCTTGAGTATATATGTAAATTAATTGAAAACAGGTCCTCAGGGAGATATTTGTTTACCAATGTTCATAGCAGCACTATTCACAATCACTAAAACATGTGAGAAACCTAAGTATCCATCAATAGATAAATGGATAAGCAAAGTGTCGTGCATACAAACAATGGAGTATTATTCAGCCTTAAAAAAGAAAGGAAATTCTGTAATATGAATCAACTTTGAGGACATTATGGTGAGTAAAATAAGTCAGTCACAAAAAGATTAAAACTGTATGATTCCACTTTTATGAGGTATTTAGAGTAGTCAAAATCATAGCCACAGAAAGTAGAATGGTGGTTGCCAGTGGTTTAGTGGGAAGGAAGGAATGGGGAGTTATTGTTTAATGAGTACAGAATTTCTGTTTTATGAGATGTAAAGAGTTATGGAGGTAGATGTTGATGATGGTTGCACAACAGTAATGAGCGTACAGTGCTTAATGCCATTGAACTACACAATTAAAAATGACTGAGATAATGTATTTTTTTTTTTTTAGTTGGAGTCTCAATTTGTTGCCCACGTTGGAATGCTCCAACACACTCAACGGCCATCACAGCCTCAGCATGCCGGGCTCAGGTGGTCCTTTCACCTCAGCCTTTCAAGTAGCTGGAAGTCGTGGCTATTTTTTTTTAATTTACTGTAGAGTCGAGGTCTTGCCACGTTGCCCAGGCTGGTCCCAAACCCCTAGGCTCAGGCAATCCTCTCACCTCCAACTACCAAAGTGCAGGGGATATAGGCGTGAGCCACATCACCCAGCTGAGATGTTAAATTTTATGTTATGTGTATTTTACCACAATAAAAAAAAATTTGGAAAAAATAATAAGTGTTTAAAGTTTCATATTACAGCAACATTTTTTCTATATCTTATAAAAGTATATTTGCAATGACTTGGAACTTTAAAACAAAAACTCTTTGCCACAGAGAGTTTAAGCAGCATTGTAAATAGAGAGCATAGTAAAGACTTTAGCATTTACTCTGAGTGAGATTGGACTCCATCTCCTCTGAGAGTGGAGAGATACAAGTAAAGGCATGCTATAAAAAAACTTGGAGGCCATATTGTAGGTACCAAGAAACCAGTAATGGGCCTTAAGGGGACAATTAATTGAATTTTGTGGGTGTGTTTGGAAAAGCCCACAAAAGGCCATGTGGAGGGCAGGGGCAAATTCATAAAGATGCCTCAAGTTTCTGGCCTAGGTAATGATAGTTGCGCTCATGGACATAGAAAGGAAAATAAAACTAGGACACGGTTGCTTAAGAGCCTGAAGTACCTCAGCGACCCCAGGTGGAGACATCCAGCAGGAAGTTGGCCATAGGAGTCAAGAGACAGTTGTGGGCTGCACATGAGAACTTGGGAGCCAAGAGTGTGTGTACATGCTTGTGGAAGTCATAGCCATGAGTAAGTTTACTCTGCCCGTGAGTGATAAAATAAGAAGGGAGAGAGCTGAAGAAAGAAACTTGGGAAACATCAGTCAACATTTCAGGATGGAGGAAGCAGATTCCTCAAGGGAGAGAGAGAAATAGGAGAACTCAGAACTCAAGGTGGGAAACATAGGGAGAAGTGGTCAGCAGTCCTCTAAGCCGCCTTCTCTATTTTCATCTTCACCCCATATATCATCACCACCCTCAACATCTTCTAGCCATTTTTTCCTTTGGCTCTTGTTCTTACTTCTGCCTGGAATGCTCTGGTCATTCATTTATTCATCCATTCAACAATTATTTATTGAGTTTCCACTACCTGGTAAGCACTAATGTAAGTGCTGAGGACAAAGCACTTACTGTGAGCAAAGCTGCAAAGGTCTCTGCTCTTAAATTGCTTACATTGCAATAAAGAAAATAAAGTATAGAGTGTATTAGAAGATGTAAGTGCTGGAGCAGACACTCTTGCTATTGTCTTGCCCATTGTGCCCTTCACAACGTATCTTTCCTTTAATAAATCTACCTTTCTTAATTCTTTGAAAAAAAGATGTACGTGCTGAGGCTGGGCACTATGGATCATGCCTATAATCCCAACACTTTGAGAGGATGAGGCGGGAGGATTGCTTGAGGCCAAGAGTTCGATACCAGCCTGGGCAACAAAGCAAGACAAGAAGAAGACTATGAAGGAAAAGAAGGAGAAGGAGAAGGTGCTATGAGAAAAGCAGAGCAGGGCCAAAGTGATCAGGAGTGCTTGAGGTGAGAGGTAGGGTGAAGGACTGCAAATTTACAGTTGTCGGTAGAATAGACCTCACATGAGAAGGCGACTTCTGTGCAAAAATTCAAAGGAGGTGAGAGAGTGAGCTTTGCAGTCGTTTGCGGGAAGAGCAGTCCAGGCAGAGGAATCATCCAATACAAGGAAGGGCCCTTGAAGATATGGGAAAGATAAGGCCGCTTATTATCAGAGAGTAAATAAGGTCTCAATTGTTTAAGGCTTACAGGCAACTGTACAGCTTGACTTTTACTCCGGTGAAATAGAAAGCCACCAGAGGGTAACATGAACTGGTTTTCATTTTATTTTATTTATTTTTATTTTTATTTCTTGAGTAGGAGTCTCACTCTGTCGCCCAGGCTAGAATGCAGTGGCACACTCACTGCCACCACAGCCTTGACCTGCTGGGTTCAGTGATCCTTCTACCTCAGCCCTCCAAGTAGCTGGAACTACCGGCATGCACAACCATGCCCCGCTAATTTTTTTAATTTATTGTAGAGACGAAGTCTCACCAAGTTCCCCAGGCTGGTCTCGAATCCGTGGGCTCAGACAATCCTCTCGCCTCCGCCTCCCAAAGTGCTGGGATTACAGGCATGAACCACCTTTTCATTTTAAAAGGATCACTCTGACTGCTGTGTTGAAAATACACTATAGGACGTAAGTTAGAAGACCATCTAGGAAGCTATACTAATAACCCAGTCAAGAAATGATAGTGGCTAGAGATAGAAAAAGATTTGTGGTTACGTAGGACTGGGTGGGGAA